AATTGTGTACCAGTTTAACGTTGAATATTATTTATGATTTTAAATTTATACACAAGTGCCAAAATACTATAATTTATCAGTATTGGTATTGCATTATTCGAGAATTTTTTAGTAACCTTATTTTTGATAATATATTTTTTATCTAACTATTCAGTGTTTCTTCTTCTTCAGGCTGATCTCTATGCAGGTGCTATCTTTATTGAAGAAGCCTTGAAGTGGAATCTCTACGTAGCCATTATTGTCTTGTTAGCTGTAGCAGCTATCTTCACTGTAGCGGGTGAGATCTTTCTTTCTTGTAGTTGCACGAGAATATTATTTGAATACTACTGAACTTTGTCCTACTTTCAATAGAAAGTGTAACAATTAAACACAACCTGACGTATCGTGGTCGAATGTTTGTTAGAAGATATATGTCTTAACGTGCGAAAAGTCCAAAATTTATCAAACGAAATAACTAAGAAACGAGAGCTAAGATAAGTAATAAGTAGGACAACACAGTTTACATTGTTAACAGGATTTCCATGTAAGTCAGTGATATCCATAAATGAACAATAGAGAGTAAACAATATTCTAATATTCATCAATTGTTAATTTCCACTTATATCTAATTTTGTCTCCATTGTTAAGTACTTCCATTGTTAAGTACTTACATAATTTAATGATACTTGTTGCAAGAAGATAAGGTCCACTGTATACTTTAAATAAAAGTCCAGGGATCCGGATTTTGAGGGGATTATTTATTTCAGTCTTTTAACTTTCTCACAACGTTTCCACCTCTCGTGTGGCCATTATCAGGTAAACTAGGACAGGAGTAATAGTTTGTAGAGCGACAGAGAAAAACGAAAAATAATATTTTATTTACCAGGAAAAGAAAACAATGGGTAACATATTTACTACTAGCTGGAGTACTTGTCCTCTAGATGGAAATTATGTAAATTCATGATTAATAAAATGTTATCTTAGGACATGAAAAGTTGCTGCCCTTATATGTAATTGTAAAAAATGCAAAAACTCCCACAAAAACTGCAAAACTGTATCTCTGCATGGGCCCAACAAATCTTCATGTCAAATTTGGTGAAGGTCCATCAACAGGGGGCAAAGTAGTGGTAAAAAACACTGATAAAAACCGCAGAATGCAAAATTGAACATTTGTATGTATCTCCCCAGGACCTAATGAACCCCCATACTAATTTTTGTGAAGATCCATCCACACCTTGCGAAGTAGTTACATAGAAATACAACAGACAGTACTAATATATTTATATAGACAACATACAGTGTTATTATATTTATATAGACAACAGACAGCACTAATATATTTATATAGACAACATACAGTGTTATTATATTTATATAGACAACAGACAGCACTATTATATTTATATAGACAACAGACAGCACTAATATATTTATATAGACAACATACAGTGTTATTATATTTATATAGACGACAGATAGTACTATTATATTTATATACACAACATACAGTACTATTATAGTTATATAGACAACAGACAGTACTATTATAGTTATATAGACAACATACAGTGTTATTATATTTATATAGACAACAGACAGCACTATTATATTTATATAGACAACATACAGTACTATTATATTTATATAGACAACATACAGTGTTATTATATTTATATAGACAACAGACAGCACTATTATATTTATATAGACAACATACAGTACTATTATATTTATATAGACAACATACAGTGTTATTATATTTATATAGACAACAGACAGCACTATTATATTTATATAGACAACATACAGTACTATTATATTT